ATTACAAAGATTTAGTAGATAATTTTTTGTAATAAATAAATTATTTATATGATTTAGTCTTATCTAACTACTGCTCTGTTTTGATAATAATAGCATTATTATGTATTCAATCTCTAAAATACTTTTATATAAATCATTTATTACAAAGAATTATTTACTTTATAATCAATTATAATTATTATAGATAGGCCTGTTTATACACATACACATATATATTGTGTGTAAGTGTGTGTATGTGTATAAACAGGCCTATCTATAATAATTATAATTGATTATAAAGTAAATAATTCTTTGTAATAAATGATTTATATAAAAGTATTTTAGAGATTGAATACATAATAATACTATAATATTATTATCAAAACAGAGCAGTAGTTAGATAAGAATAAATTATATAAATCATTTATTTATTACAAAAAATTATCTACTAAAACTTTGTAATTATTATATTCATAAAAGATTTTTATATATTTTTAGATTATAAATTTAATTATTTTTACTTTTGTAATGTATAATATTTTTAAAAAATTATTATATACGTGTGCATATATAAAAGAATGCAATGTAGAAAAGAGAAAAGAGACAGATAGATCGATAGATAGATAGATAGATAGGTTAATCGATAGATGATAGATAGTTCGATAGATAGACAGATTGCTAAATAAATCAATAGGTATGTGTATATATTATATATATGTATATATATATATATATATATATATATGTATGTGTATGTATGCATATATAGAAAATGTATATAAATAAACTAACCTGTACATCCAGCCCTTCTTGAAGGAAACTCTACGTTTCGAAAGGGGCAAATGTTTGGCGTCATATTTTCGTCCCATGGTGTGGACAACACACAAACTCAAGTATACGCTGCTTTTTACGCGTATGAACGTGTATAGCACCGCGCGACGTGAGTGAGGCGTCGCACAGTAGATCATATCAACGTATAATACGCGCGGATTACTGTGGTACATACATACTACTGATACCGCGCGAATACGAAAGATCTGACGCGCATTTTTACGTACATAATAAATCGGAATATTTGATAAAAAATATATATATAAAATATATGATGAAAATATATATATATATATATATATATATGTATGTATATATATATATATATATATATATTAGGTCCTTGAATAAGTTCTCGCTGTTTTTTTTGTTAAAAAAAAACATTTATTTAAAATATAAGGCTTACAATAACTTTACTCAAAGTATTGTCCATTATTAGAGACCACACAGCAATGCCTCCAATTCTTCGTCTTCAAACTTTGTCGGTGCTCCAGAACGTTCTTTATCTTCAAGGTTAAAGTCATTATTTTTAAAGCGCCTAAACCAGTCTCTGCATGTCGTATTCGACAGAGCATTGTCACCATATGTTTCAACAAGAATTCTGTGTGCTTCAGCTGCAGATTTCTTTTGAATAAAGCAGTGCAATAAAATTCCCCGCAAAAACACTTTATTTGGCACAAAAGTAGACATTTTCGCAATAGGTAATTAAACACGTGGTTGACACTGTGGTAAACTATATCTACTAGAATTTGAGGTTACATATAGTACTACTTAGCTGATGCGTTTCCGTACGAAATTCCATGCACAGAGTGCCGCTACGCCATCTTTTAAGAAACAGCGAGAACTTATTCAAGGACCTTATATATATATATATATATATATATATATATATACATATATATAATATTGGCATATTATATCTACATACTTTAATTTTTAGAAAGCATATTTTCTCTCTCTCAAATCACTCGCATACAATTATGAACGAGCAATTTGAAAGAGAGAGAGAGAGAAAGAGAGAGAGAGAGAGAGAGAGAGAGAGAGTGTCAGAAGCACGGTCGTATACACACCGTGGTCAGAAGACAAGACAGCATGAGAGAGACGAAGATAATATGACTGTCTGTCCTTGTCTAACTGCACGATTGCAGCTCCATCTATCGCGACATCGCGCAATTAATTTTCTGCTCTGTATTATTCCCAAATGTCATTTCGCAAATACACATGTGAATGAAATATTCCAACACCAAGATCTTTTTTATTAGACTTCTAAACTTATTTCTGTGCAAGCTTACTAATATTCCTTTATGCAATCTTTTGGACGAAGCGGTCTTATTTTGTACGTATAAATTGTGAAACTTTTATACAAGCAAATATTGTTATGACGTGACGCGAGAAGCCAGAAAAAAAACTCGTATTTAAAAATTTTTTGTCTTTTTATCACAAATTGAGACAGCTGCGTACTTTATTATTGTATTAACTTTAATCGTGGAAAAGCATTTGTTATTCTATTAACGCAATAAAAACTTCTTGGTGTTGGAAAAATATAATTGTTCGGCCGGTAAAAGTAGACCTCCGGCATCCCCTTAAGCAATTTTACAACTTTTTAACCATAAGAACATAGTGGCCACCATGAAAAAAATTTTATAGCCATTCGCCGATTTTTGTCATATTCAGGGTACTCCAAAGTTGAAAAAAACGTGAAAAACAAATTTTGTTGTTGTACTGTACAATTGCTTTTTAGGTCAAAATAAAGATAGAAAAAATCTATAATTTTTGTTATTTTCATTCATTTGTAACTAGTCTACTACATATTTCCGCAAAAATTTTGACAATTATTCCAATCGATAGAGCAAAGTCTCAGCTTTAATCATTGTTTTTTTTAAATTGTGGTACAATGATTTTCAGCAAAGTTATAAACAATTAAAGTCATGCTCATTTTTTATTTAATTAGCGATAACTCAGTAATTAAAACTCATCAAATAGTATCTTATATGGCAAGTGCAGAAAACAACGAATTACGTTGCGCATGAAGTTGTCGCATAAGCCGAAGGCTGTATGGACATACACCATTACATAAAACCCGAGAATTGGTTTCTCAGCGTTGGCAACACTGAAACCGGAGTTTCGCGTTGTCACCGCATGAGGCCTCCAACATCAATTCGAAGTTTGTCTGGATCGCCTGCCGATCCTTTATCGCCAAAATGAAATGTGAGATTTGGACAATTATTAATATGAAATGTAATGTATTTATCTCTCAATTTTTCGGTAATAAAATCTTTGTGACAGATTCAGCTGCTTCTATAAGTTCTAGAGGCGTAGATAGTCTTGTGAACACTCGTTTCTTTTATCTATTTTATCCTTCTTGAATAATGAAGGTTATAACGAATTGACGTTTTGTCTCGCATGAATTTTGTTACGTTCAAGTTTGTTATGTCAGTCGAGAAATGGTAAAACAAAAACAAGGTTTTTTACGCACTAGTGCGAAAAAGTAACTCATATTACCGCACTAGTGCGGTAAAGTAAATCATAAAGATGCTTTTCTCGCACTAGTATGATAAAGTAAGACATACATTGAATCGTTGAGAAATAAGCCATTTTCCACGCTAAACAGCAATCGAAAATCGAACTTTTGCAACAGATGTTGCAAAAAGATTTTTAAAAAAACAATGTTGTTAAGAAAACTTCAAGCTTTAACACCAAAGACTTCAAAAACTTTGTAATTTTTTTTACACACGTTGTAGGTCGGCAAAGTAGGCAGAAAATTTCTAATTTTGTCCAAGTCGTAGTTTTCTGCGTGTAAAAATTATCAAACTAACAGAAATTTTAAAAAATTGGAAGTTTATTTATATAAAGTAGAGATTTAAAACATAAAACCTTTTTTTAAAATTTGAATTTCGTTTATTTTTAACGAAGTTACAGCTGATTGAATTTTAACTATTTTTTAAGGAAAATTTAAGCATTCCTCTAATTTTTTTGATTAGTGTATTTTAATTCAGATTTACAATGGATTAATTACATAGGTCGACAAATTTTAAAACCCATAGATTAGACTAACAAGGGAACCATCACAAGAGTCCGACACCGATTTGATTTTCCTTGAAATATGTTATAAAGTATACAAATTTAAGGTACACGTATTTTTTTTATACCTGCCTAATCGAAAGTTTAGGGAGTGATTCACCCTTATGAAAAAATGAATTTTTTCTTTTATAAAGAAAACTAAATTATTTAGAAATTATAAAGAAAACTAAATTGGCCGAACACTTATGATACTTCTTCCAGTTGAGCGTTTCTTATAAAGGGAGGTATGTGTGTTTGTATCACATTTTTAACAAAATTTATTTTCCGAAAAAAAATGTATGGCAATTTTGTACCATATCATAGAATTTGTTATAAAATTTTCTACAATTTGCTAATAACAAAAATATATAAATTTTCATACTTGGACGGGGAAAGATTTCGAAAAAATTTTAATTTTTTAAAATTGGGAGTGCACAGGCATAAAGTGCATAAAAACCCGAGTTACTTTTGTTTCAAACATTTTTTTATATCTCTTTTTGTGTTTAGATGATATTATTCTCTTGGAAAAGAAAAAATTTATCTTTTCATAAAGGTGAATCACCCCCTAAATCTTCGATTGGGCACGTATAAAAAAATACGTGTACCTTTTTATATATTAAATAGGCATTGCATAATCTTGAAAAGAAATGAAATAATAACTGCAGAATTATTAATGGCAGTAAAATTATGTGACAAAATTATAATATTTTATATTCCCGGATAGCAATGCCTGATTATCAGATTGCATTGACATGATCTTCTGGTTTTGATTGAAATGTGTTGTATATCTTGTAATCATATTATAATGAGATATTATAAGCACAAGTTACATACATTTGACGAAAAATGTGAGCTCAAATATTAATTTGAGCATTATTTATGTACTCATATTGACATTTTTTGCAAAATTTTAAAAATAAATATGACCGTGTTTTGAATAGCATATGAGCCTGCATCTCTGTCAATTTTTGTCATTATGTTTGTAAGAATATGAATACAATATGAGTACAGAATGCATATGTTTTGCTGTCTGGGTTCTTATTATAAGTGCATAATACTCGTATTGTGTAACATATGTATACAATATAGTTTATACTTTATTATTACAAATTGTAAATATATATTTTTTTACAGTTTAACATCCAATTACATTTAAAAAATTTTATAATGAAATTTGAAAAGATTGTAAATGATGAAGTACTGGTGAAAAAACCACATAAGATTGAATGGCAAATTATTTGGGCAAATGTTATTATTGTCATATATATTCATTTTACTGCCCTTTATGGAATATATTTAACCATTTTTTATCCTATTAAACTTTGGACTTTCATCTGGTGTACGTATTTCATTTATTTAACCTATTATTCCATAATATATTTATAACTACACACATTAATAGAAATAATATAGTAAATTATTAGCAAACGTTTATTTTGAATTAATAAACTTTATAAGAATTCCATATAATATATACATATTAATATAGGGGATTAATAATTTGATAAATTTCTCAAAAGTAAATTGATCAAAATGTTCAATTCTCAATTTAAGAGTTATTTTTGTGGTATCATATCAACGAAAAAGTGCCTTGAGCACACCATCGATGAATTTAATTTCATCGAAACTAATGTGCCAACATTCGACTTTCGTGCTTATTTTATGTTTAATATGATTAAATGAAAATTTACAGTCTTCGCTGTTGGTATATTTTCAAATATAGGATCCACTGCTGGCGTTCATAGATTATGGTCTCATCGGTCTTATAAGGCAAAGTGGCCGATGAAACTTATTCTTATGATTTTCCAGACTATTTCGTATCAAGTAAGTTTTAATTTAACTTTTTTTCTTTCATATTTAAGTATAGTAAAGGACTCACACTTATGTATATGGGCTATTGATTAAAGTTTTACATTTTGTTTCTTTTAAAGCGCAATAAACAATCTATGAAGGTTGTAGGAAAAGTACGAACTCGGCCTCTGAATTCGAACAGAAAAACTCTAAAAACTTATCTGTAAAAAAATAAAAAAGGCGCTTAGTATGGGCTTACCAGTAGTGAAAATTTACGCATGCAAACCCATGTAGAATCCTATGAAAAATTAATCATTGCAAACCCATGTAGAATCCTATAAAAATTAATTATTGCAAACCCATGTAGAATCCTATGAAAATTTAACCATTGCAAACCCATGTAGAATCGTACTACAAAAGTAATAATATTAAAAAAGAAAAAAATTGCGCCAAGTATAAATAGACACTTGTACCAATGGAAAATTCAAATTGCAAATCTATATAGTCGTATGATGAACTAGTAAAAATAAAAAATTTTAGTTAAAAAACTTGGGACGCTATTGTAAGAATAAAGTGATAAAGGATGACTAAAAGGAGCAAGAAAGATCAGATTTTAATGAGTCCAATAATATATTTCGTAGTTTAATATTTTTAGTCAATCTTACTTCGGCGATGGCTCGAGGAAGACTCCCCATTTTCGTTGTCCGTACTTAGAACTTTTTCCCCTACTTTCTCGCAGGCTCTCGTTTTCCTACGTCTCGCGTAAACACGTATTGTTCGCTTATTATTCTCTTCGACTTTCACATTCCTTTCTCGCTCGATCATCGCTCTCGTTATTATTTCTACTACACATTCAATTCTGTGCAAAAACCTTCGATTAATTTTTTTTCTCACAGAACGGAAAACATTTATTTGATTACTGGTTCGACTGTTTGTACGAATTAGGAAGGATGTGATCTGGATAAATTACTCGTGGTTTGTTAAATGGGTGACTTTATTCAAAATAATTAAAGTGAAAGTAAACTTGATTTGCTATCTAGGCTTTGCTCGCGAAAAACTCCACCGAGCTCTTGAGATGATCGTTCTCCACCGAGCTCTTCGGGCCGACCTCTCTTCAAAATACGCAGGATCGACGGCAACGACAGCCGATCGATCCTTCGCTTGGACGCGTGGCACGCGCGTGCCGAAACGTGATTCGCTAGCGAGGCTCGAAGGCTCGAGACAAAGGCGCGTTTTTGTCAACTTCTCGTGCTCGGAATTGAAAATACGCGGAATAACAACTCGGCGGCGAATATATTTGTGACCTTGCTTTAGCATTCTCGCAAGGCTTTTATAATTTTAAACATATCGCCCGCCTTACATGCGAACAAATGCGAAAATATTTTTACCGCTCTACAAGTAAAGTACAAATACAATCGGTGCTGATATAGGAACAATAAAGCGAGAGCTAAGAGAGCGAACATTTATACAAAATAAACTCAAAATATTTCTAAATTATAAGGACGACTTACGGAACAATATAAATATAAGCACTGAATACATCACAAGTCACAAAGTCCTTTATATGACAATGTTTTTCTTAATTATCGCACTGAACTGACAGTCTACACAGTAGCGTGATTGGTCGTTTCAATATTGAACAACGCGATTCTCACGGTAACTACTCGAACGAGTCCGTCGGATCCGGGATGGACCCGAGTGACTCGCGCGAGTTCCCATTTGCTCGGAGGGAGCAAAGGATTTTTTAACAACGTGAGCTCGCCAACGCGAAAACAAGGCGATCTTTCTGACCACTTATATCGCTGTTGCAGCGAATGTAAGTAGTCTTGCGACCAAGCACGCCAGAGTTGTTCCACCATCGAATGAACGAACTGCCATCTCGAAAGTCGATTCGTATTTATCGCGAGTATTGATTCCTCCGGTATCGCAACGATCGGTCGGCCTATTAAAAAATGACCCGGAGTGAACGCGGACAGATCGCTCGGGTCGTCGCTAAGAGCCGCAACGATCGGTCGGCCTATTAAAAAATGACTCGGAGTGAACGCGGACAGATCGCTCGGGTCGTCGCTAAGAGCCGCAATCGGTCGGGAGTTCAAACATGCCTCTATCTGGCATAGGAGCGTAGCGAATTCAGCCTGCGACAGGGTACGCGAACCGGCTATCCGCTTTAGATGCGATTTGAGGTTTTTCACGCCCGCCTCCCAAAGTCCTTCGAAATGAGGAGCTGCGGACGGGATAAAATGCCACTCAATTTTATCGTTAGCAAGAACGTCGTGTAGAGACGAATCTTTCATGAGCGCCTCAAATTCGCTGTTTAATTCCTTTTTAGCGCCGTGAAAGTTAGTTCCGTTAGAGTATAACTTACACGGTAAGCCTCGTCGGCTCGTGAATCGCCGAAAGGACGCAAGAAATCCAGCACTGAAGCAATCCTCCACTAGCTCCACGTGGATCGCCTTGATAACGAGACAAACGAATAGAACCACGTAATAACCTTTTCGTGTCTTTTGTCCTCTTCCAACGAAAGGCGTAATAAAAAAAGGACCAACGTAGTCCACACCCGTATGCGTAAACGGTGACGACGGTTGCATGCGAGGAGAAGGCAAATCCCCCATCAGCTGACTCGATACTCTAGCTGAATAACGTATACACGCATTGCATTATATGATTTTTCACTAAATTTCGACCTCCTAGCAACCAATATCTTTGTCGGAATGTACGCAACACTAATTGAACTCCACCGTGGAGAGTGTGTTTGTGAGCCTGAGCGATTAAAAGGTACGAGACTTGTCCTCGCGGTACTAAAATAGGATGTTGCTCTTCGTATGTGAGAGCAGCATTTTTCAACCGCCCGCCAAAGCGAAGTACTGCATCTTCGCCAACAAATGGAGTTAAAGTTCTAAGTGAACTTTTCTTCGAAACTGCGTTGCTTTTCTTTAGTGCTTTGATTTCGGATTCAAAAGCCTTCTTTTGTACGTACGACAGCCAAAATAATTCCGCTTTATTAAGCTTGTTGACACTCAGCGACGAGGTTGATTTGAAATTAACTTTCCTTTTCTTATCAATTAACGCGAGAAATCTACACACGTAAGCAGTTACTCTTATCAGCTTTGTCCAACTCGAGAATTTATAGAGCAAATCCCACTCGTCTGACCCTTCAACGTGAAGGACGGTGGGTTTTCGTTGCTCGCTAGATATCCTTTATACTGCATTCATGGAGAGTGGAGCAGTAACTTCATGGATCGGCCAGGACGTGGAAGGCTCTCGAAGCCAGGGTAGTTCGGTCCACCACAGAAGATGTGATATTAATTTGGACGCGGATAAGCCTCGAGACGCACAATCCGCGGGATTGTCTCTCGACGGCACGTGATACCATCTTGCAGAAGGCAAATTATTTTGTACCTCCGATATCCTATTGGCCACGTACGTGGTCCACTTAGAGAGATGCTGGCGTAGCCATGCCAGCGCGATTGTTGAATCCGTCCAGCAATAGATTGGAGTTTTTATTAAGTTTAACAAATTAATCGTTTACTTTATTAGGCGACTTAACAGCACGGCGGCGGTTAACTCGAGTCGCGGAATGCTCACGATTTTTACTGGAGCGACCTTTGTTTTTGCAACGATCAAACTAATTGTAAAATCCGACAATGAATGAAAGACGCGAATATATACTACCGCGGCATACGCTCGATTTGACGCGTCGGCAAATTCGTGGATTTAAATCGCTATATTGTCTGGATTTTGACCCGTCCATCGCTTAATTCTAATTTTCTCTAATTTATTGTATTAAAATCTGAGACAAAGTCATGCCATCGTTGTTCTAACTCGTCGGGAATGCGCGTATCCCAATTGCATCGCGAAAGCCACAGCTCTTGCAAAAGAATCTTCGCGGTAATTACGACGGGAGCGGCCCAACCGAGCGGGTCATACAATTTCGCTACGAACGAAAGGATAGTACGTTTTGTTGGAGCAACGGGTTTGATTGAATTGAGGAAGTACGGCAGAGTTTTTCGATCCTCCGGGGTAGCCACGAGCTGTATCCTGGCATAAAGTCCACGGCAGGAAACCCAAAGTGATTTCAGATTTGTGAGACGCCCTTGCGTCTTGGGCAATGTGATATTAGCCTTTGCTAACTTCTTAAAATTCACGATGACTCTTTGCAACGTGTCGATTGTCTCGCTCTACTCGGCGAGTAAAACCTTTAACTCGGCCATTATAACCGCGAGTTAAAATTGTTGACAAAAAAAAATGTCACAGAATGAGCGTCACGGTTTTTCCTAGGCGCGTATAGCTGCGCCGTCGGAACTTGAGTTCGCGACGAAAACTTATTCAACGCATTGTGCGAGCAATTACGCCGACGGTGTTTTATTCGCGAACGATGTCGTATCAAAACGCGAGAGACATATATTTGTCCTCAGAAACCGCACTAAGTATACCGAGGCGCGGGATTACCAAACCGACGGGAACTTATTCGCGCACAACCGTGTGTCGAAACGCGAAAATATAATGTCTCGTTATGGACTGCACTAATTATGCCGAGACGCGGGATTACCGAGCCGGCGGTATAGATTTCGCGAGCGACCTTTTGTCGCAACACGCGAAGAAACAGTCTTTGGAGATCACAGTAAGCCGAGGAGTTTGAGCAGTTCCGACGGCAGCTTGAGCGCAGACGTCCTCGTCGACCGCGAAGAGAATTTCTCCTTTAGACTGCACAACACTAGCCGAGACGCGTAATGGTAGCATCGACAGCAATGAACTCGCGAACGATCTCGTCATAGACGAGTAACAGTTTTGAATCACACTGTAGTAACGCTCCTGGGCGCGCGACAGCGGAGCCGACGGCAATGAATTCGCGGCCGACCGCTTGTCGACTCGCGAAGAACAGCGTTATACAAAATTGCACTATCGTTTCTTGTCGCACAGCACAGCGAATGATTGACTGCACTTGCTTTTACGACGCGAAGCTCACTTTCACGTTTCGCGTGTTGATAGACTTTTCTCGCACTACGCGAAACGGGGTCTGCCCGATTCTACTT